TGCCTGACCCTGAGGTCTCAGGCTGCAGAGTCAGGCCAGGCTGCTCCCCACGGGCACCTAGAGAGAGCAAAGCCCAGAGGCTGCTGGGGGAGTTGAGGACCGAGCGGACCCTGCTCAGCCCTGGAAAGGGGGAGAGAACTTGACAAAACTCACACCACAGAAAAGCATCTGGAGGGGCCGGCCTGTGGCTCACTCGGGAGAGTGTGGTGCTGATAACACCAAGGCCACGGGTTCGGATCCCATATAGGGATGACCGGTTAGCTCATTGGGTGAGCGTGGTGCTGACAACACCAAGTCAAGGGTTAAGATCCCCTTACCGGTCATCTTTTTAAAAAAAATAAAAAAGCATCTGGAGGAAGGGTGGAGGAAGCGGGGTGGGAAGCATGCAGAACAAGTCAGGGAAGTGTGTTCCTGTGCACTGACTAGAATAGTGTGGACGCTCAGAAAATATTAGGACCACAAAGACGAGGGAAGAACAATGACTTCAGGCTTATGCCAAGCTCAGTAGTATCAGCTCAGAAACCTGCCAGTGTCACAAAGAATACCTTTCCCTCTCTTGATTATCAAAATGGTCTTTAATGCCATGTCTGTAGAGTCAACAACAGTATCTATAAAGTTTCCATGCCAGCATGAGGTTGCCTCAGAGGGTAGAAGGATGGGGGTAGGAAAAGTACTCAGTAAGCTGTCAGCTCTTGTGAAGGGTTAGAGAAATAGTACTCTACTTAACTGACTGTTCGAGGTAACCATAAGTTACCATATTTTCCTTGTGGGGATTACCAATTTTTAACAAATGTGAGTCTAATAAAAATTAACTACTATATTGAATACAACTTTATAGATTTATACATCATTTATACAATGGGTAGGCTATATTATGCGCTATTATAAACACTTTGCAAGTACTCATTTAGTCTCTAGCAACTACTCTAGTAGTTAGGTGCTATTATTGGACTCATTTCATAAATGGGTAAGCCAAGGCAGGCACACAGAGGTTAAGCAATTTACCCAAAGTCACATAGCTAGTAGATGGCAGAAAGAGGATTTGGACCCAGGCAGCCTGACTTCAGATTCTATGCCCTTATCCATGACATTGGGCTGCTTCTTTAAAGTGGAAAAGGTCCCAAGGAAACCAAGGCTCAAAAGAAGTGACTTGCACAAGCTCATCCCAGCCTCTCTCTCAAAATCCAAGATCTTACTATGTCCAAGACCAGCAAGAAGACTATGGCACAGTTCTTTCTCTCAACAAATTCTGATTAAGCATCTATATGTACCAGGTATCATTCTAATTTTGTTTATAACCAAAGAAACCGTAGGGGACTGAACAAATTAGGATCAATTCTTTGACAAGTCCCAAAAGTTATTTTAAAAGTCAAATCTCATCATTACCTCTGTGTGTTTCAGATAGGGAAGATGGAAAAAAAACAAAGCAACTCTGATTACTTGAGTTTTTTGGCTCCTTGGATTCTAGATAATTAAGTGTTTTCTGGTTGGAGGTCATTTTCAGAAGCATCAGGTATAGATCAAGACAGTAAGCAGAGGGCAAGATAGGGATGAAAACACATTTGAGCCCAATTCTGCTCAAAGCTTGAGTTTAATTGAGATTCCAACTGCCACTCTCCTCTGCATTCCTTTGTCCCTGGCTATGACCAAGTTTATGGCTGTATTGCCACAAGTAATCCCTGTAATGGGCTGCAACCCTGGGAGAGCTGTTTTTGTTCATTAAGTGGCCAACCTCTGAGCCACATGAAGGGCAGCCAGTTATGGCTTCCTCTCCTGTCAGTTGATGGGCCACTTTTCTGTTTTAAAAAACAGGGATCTTCCAGGAGAGGGCACAGGGATAGTAGGCAGGGGCTGGGAAAGAGTCAGAGACAAAGGTGAGGGTGCTACATATGAGGGCCAGGGTGAGGGGGAGAGTGGGGGCCCTTTCCAGGTCATGAGCTCTCTGGGGGCAGAATTCACATGTGTTGTGTGTTAGCTCCCCTTGCAATAGTAACTATGGCTGTACAGGGCTTCACAGTTTATGACGGGCTTCAGTGTAATTCCAGGAATGGTGCCACAGTTACAACTGCCTATGACACCATCGGTGTGGACAGGAGGGAGAAGGGGTGAGGAGAACAAGGGGACAATAGACAGACAGTGGCAAATGAGTGGGATGAGGCAAATAGCAGAGGGTGGGGCTTGCCCTGAGGGTCAGGAATTCAGTGCTTCAGACTGAATTGAAGCTCAAGTGACAGGGACCAGGCCATGCCCAGAGCAGTTTTCTCCTTAAGTCAGCTGCCTCTTCACTCTCTGCCCACAGCCCCAGTGTCCGCTTCTTGGAGTTGGGGAAACATTGCAGCAGCTGCTTGTTTAGAAACCCTGTCCCCTCACTGTGCTGTTTTCCTCTCTCCACCCCCCATATGTCCTCTGGTTAGAGTTGTGTGAAGCGGAAGACAATTTGGGGCTTATTAGTGTCCCAGGGAGACATGTAACTTGTGTTGCTGGGACCCAAACAGCAAGAGTCTTAGCGGCAAACTCCAGCCGAGAAAAGACTGAGGAATTGTCTCACCTAATTACAGGGAATGGCCCTCTTTGTGTTTGTGATTCGGTACGGTTGTCCGATCGCTTTTGATCGCTTTTCTCCATTTGCTGGCTCAGACCATGCTGGAATTGTGCTAATTAGAAGAGAAATGGACAGAGTGATCCTGTCAGCCCTGGTTACCGGTGGGGACAAAGCGGAATATTATTCTGAGGCAGTGTTTTGTGAGGGCCCTTCTTCCAGCTCTCATTAGGAGGAAGGGGCCCATGGGAGGGGAAGGTTCCGAATGCCTGGCCCGGCTAATGGAGCACTGGGGTATTCCTGTGCTAATTAACAGGCTCTGCCAGCACTCACGCCAACTAGGTGCCCCACAGTTACACCTGGTGCCACCTGAAGTCCCCAACTGCTCAAGAAGAAAAAGTGCCAGGCAAAGGGTGGGAAGGCTGGTGGCCTCTTTAGCCATTGTCAGGGACACACCTGCAAAGTGCCAAGAAGCCTAAATAGGAACGGTCAGTTACAGACCAGTCAGAACTTATGAACTTGGGAAGACCATTGTTTGCCCACTCTTTGGGGGTGGAGGTTTCAAGGCTCTCTGGTGAAATGAAGCCTATTCAGGGATTAAGCAGTCTTATAGCTCTCAAAAGATGAAAAAACAGAAAATGGAGAACATAACCAAATGCCTGGAGATAGAGTTAATGCAGAAGTTGAGAGCTGGTAAGAAACCGTGTTATTTGACACCTTGGCCCATCTGCTCACTTCTTCACTTCCTGCTCTTCCCATTCACCTTCCTGTGATGCCTTAACCCTGGAGGAAACAGAAGGAATCAGGGCATCCCACTAAAAGTCAAATTTCTTGGCTCCATTACGAACCTCTTCAAATGCCCTTCTGAAGCCACAGGACAATGGAATAACTCACCTGCTCCATTTTCACTGCCCTGATTTGGGTAAGTCCAGAAAAGCTACAATGAACAGCAAACAGAACCAAAACCGAGGGACAGTTAGGAAGTGTCCATTTAAAAAATATGATAAATGAGTAAGAAATAAAGAAAAATTAATAGTGCCATTTAGATATTAATACAATAATATCCTGTGAATTTTTAGTGCTCTAACTTTGGAATGAAAGCCAAGCAAATCAGCAAAGGCCTAGAATCTGAGAGGCCAAAGACAGTACAAAGCAAGGAGACTGCTGATAAGAAAAGATTTTAAGAATTTGAAAATGTGCCTCTAAGCTCCAATGCCATGCTTCTCAGGACACTGCTGCTCACAGCCAACAGATATGTTACAGGATGGTATGTGGAATGGCATTTGTCTGTAGGCAAATCATAATTATTTATTGGAAAGTAATCCCTAAAGACTTAGAACAGAACATTCATAATGCTGTCCCTGTTTAATAAGTCAATCTGCCATGTTTTTCTAGATCACAAAAATCTACTATCCACCCAGATGTTTTCTTGGAAATAAATTATGGGTGAGCCAATAAAGATAAACAATTTGCTTTCCTTAAAATAAAATGCTTTCTCTAAAAGGGCATGCTCTGGTCTAGAGCAGATAAATTATCAATGGGCAACAGCAGTAGCACTAATGAATATTTCCTCTACTCTAGTTCTTTTTTTAAATCCATGTTTTTTTTTGTTTTTGTTTTTGGGGGCTGGCCAGTACAAGATCAAACCCTGGACCTTCGTGGTGTCAGCACCACGCTCTAAGTGAGCTAACCAGCTAGCTCCCTCTCTAGCTTGTGAACATAGTTGGAAAGGAACTCACACTAGAGGTTTTAGTAGGTGGCAGACATTTATTTTCAATCCATCATGTTTAACTGGAAGTCTGCAAACAGGTTTTGTATTCCGAGTTCAAAGAAGACACTGAAGAACTAAATGTATAGGAGCAAGCCATAACCTTGAGAAGCTTATAATTGAGTAGGGCAATAAGATATGTACTCAGGTCACTTAAATACAAGGAGGCGTATGGTAAGAATCACTGGGATAATATACATAAATGTTGTAGGAATGCAGGGCAAAGGATCGTTTCCAGCTGGATCATAAAGGATTTAGAGGAAGAATACATTTGATAGGTGCAAGAGGGATGCAAGACTTTGTAGCAACTCAATGGCATGAGCAAAGGCACTCAAGTGGGGAACTGGGAACTGTTCTGAGTACCTGGAACACAGACTTCATATATGGGAGAGAAAGGAAACCAAACTGGAGGGCTGATTAAGATCACATGTAGGAGGTCTTAAAATGCCAGGATGAGAGATCGAAACTTTATTAGCACACATGGGAGGTGTTAAAAGTTTCTAAATACTACTTTAGGGAGTTGAACAGTAATGAGCAGAATAGCTGGTAGGACAGACTGGCAGCTGGAAGACCAAGTAGATGGCTCTAATGCCCATAAATCATCCACTAAGATATTACAGAGGAAGACAGTGGGTTATTTGTGTTTACAGTCTTACTTTCTGATGAGGCCTATGCTTTAAATATGCAACTTGGGAAAAACTCACCCTCCTACAGAAGGGACATATTTATTACGAAGACACAGAAACCAACATATACAAAGTACAATCCTCTAACATCCTGAAATACATACACACAGACATTGCACATAAATTTATATTATCCATATAAAAATACATCATTAACATTTCTAAGGATGACAAATACAAACCCAATAAATATCAGAATTCTAAAACATCTACTTACATTAAGTGCTGGTGAATAAGATGACAGTAAAAGAAAGAGGTCAAAGCAGACCAGAAAACCAACTACCAGTTACAGTCTTGAGTTGGTCTGGGGGAGGTATCTCAATATTCTCCAAATATTTCTCAATTTATCCACATGAAAGTGCCCGACATCATCAACTCTCAAAACAGAGCAGAGAAGAATTAGATATTATGGCACTATTTTTTGGCCACACACACACTTGAACCGCATTTAGTGAGATAAATGTCAATAATAAGGTTAACTTAAAATCAAATCCTCTACAACCTATGCTTTACTTCTCATAATCATCTTTTGTGTCTTGTGTTCAATTTTTTCCCTTTCAATAAGTAAAATTGTATGGATGGTCAAATGGCAAAAATGAGAGAAAAATCCAACATTACTTCTAGCATGAGAAACAAGGCACAAATGTCAAAAGATGGTTAATGGACCAGCTGTTAAACTGAAAAGTGTTCTACCCTTGCACAGATACTCAAGACCAAAAACTTGACTACAACTTTTCTTGTGTCCAAACACCATCAAACTGTTGTCGCAGGGATGTTCTTTTTGTAAAGTTGAGGAAATTCTATTTACTTCTCAAACAGCAGATGCCAGGGGCTGGCTTATAATATGGAGAACATGTGTAATCGATTTTATCCATGGGTTGGATTTTCAGGTTTTAATACATAGACATATAACTGGTGAAAAACTCCCTAAGAGCTGCATTTAAGTCAGGAAATTCTCTTTTGTGTGTGTGCGTGTGTGTGTGTTTCTGTCATATAGGTGAAGTATCTGATATGTGTTGTGAGATGGAACAAGGGGGACAAAACATTGCCACCATCCCACAGAACATTCCTTTAAGGGCAATTGGGCTTCTAGTTTTCAACTAAATTCCCATAAACCATCCCTTCTCTTATCTTTAAGGCCATATTGACTTTCTCCGTTGAATCTATAACAGATTAACTAGAAATCAAAAGCCCTTTCTGTGACCTTCATATTAGTCTTGAGGTCTAAAACCCGACACAACCTTACATAGGCTTTTCACTATACAAGCCACTTCTAGGAGGGGACTCACTACTCAGGGATCCCCTTGCCTGGAGTCAGAACTGCAAGGTGGGGCTAGGAGGAGAATGGAAGGCATTGGGGGATGGGACTATCATGAGAGGTATAGAATTTAAAAAGCAGGTGAACATTTCAAGAAGAATCCGGTTTCTCCAGCTGAGGATGCTTGGAACCTAGTATTCACTGGAGAGTCCACAGGTCAGGATACATGGTCTGGCTGATTCAGGTTGGTCTCTGCTCTCTTCGCATCATAAATACATCCTAAGAGATCAATACAACTCAAAAGAACCCATCCAATCAACGTGTCACAACTGACTTTGCTATCACTGAATCAAATCAATCGTAAAATCCTGGGGCTCCTGAACAACTTCCGGAAATGAGCAAGCTGGACTTTAATCTTTAAGAATGATATGCCCTCTGGTGTTACCAATATCCGAGATTAAGAAAGTCAAATCTGGAAGCTGACTGAATAACCACAATGATCCTTGGGTAGAGCAGATTCTTGCTGCCGAATGTCCTCAAAGGCGCGGAGTACCAGGAACGGGGGAGAGGGGCAGTCCTGGAGGTACACCCTCCAGCCCCTCCCAAGGAAGCAGTGAGGTGTGCGTCAGAGCTGCACTGGGAAGGGAGCTTGCTTACAATTCTTAGGACATCCTGTCCATGGCAGCTGCTACTTCTTAGGCTTCTCTAGAATGTTGAGGAACTTCCCTCGTGTCATCTCTCTGGCTGAAAGCACAAAGCAAACAAAAGATCAATGAAAACCTAAAATCTGGAAAAAGATCACAGGAAGATTTAATTTGAAATACAGATTAATTTAAATTGTATATTGTTACTACCACAACAGATTCAATCACCACTAACCACCTAAAAGGGGGGAAAACAAACCATTATTGACAACTAAAACTGTATAAAGCAGTTCTGAAGTTGGCAATTACTGTGAGGTACAGGTCAACTGGGGAAGACTTTATCATCTGCCCTTAAAAAAATCATCTGGGAATTCCCCCTAAAACCTATCTCTCTCTCTCAAGAATCTAACTTAATACTCATGTTCACTATCTCAGGGGGTTTGCTCTTGGAGACTAAAATCCAACCAAGATTAGTCCTCTCTGGGTTGTTGGTCTCTGGACATTTACAATCCCAAATCAAAATTAGAGATCATTTACCCCATATCTCAGCAGTGGTGGTCCCTGGATGCTGTAATATACCAGGGTTTACATTCCTTCAGTGCAGTTCATCTGTGGATGGTGTAATAAAGTAGGGTTTATAGACCTCTGGTCTTCTCTCTCTCGGCATTGTCAGTCCTCAGATATTTAATATAGCCAGCCAGTCTTTCTCTGACTTTCAGCACCATCAATCTCTGAATGCTGTAGTTACAAGAGGGTTTATACAGCTACTTTCCTACATATAAGGCTCAGAAATGAAAGTAAAATGTTTCTCAATTACAAGGGCCACTCCAGAAACCCCCCATTTTAGGTCTGTCAACCAAATCCTCAAAAAGCATATGTGGTATAACACGTGCTTCATGCTCGTCCCATAAGGTCATCTTTTCATATCTCTTAAGTGGATTTAAGACTGCTGAAAGTTTCTGATGGCTGGCCCTGGAGAGCATAAGTCTCCTGGAACTATGCAGTGGGCACAGGGCAGACTGTGTCCTGTGGCCTCCCAAGAACATGTCTCCATCCTGGCCAAAGGAGTGAAGTGGCTAGGGAGGCACCTGCAGGAAGGAGGACCTTCGCCCAAGCCTCCTTGTTGCCCTTCCCAAGTACATAACAAATGGTGCTAAAGGAATGAGCTGCCACTCCCCTCCACCGGTTTAATGGTTCCTTGTTTATTTGTACAATGAAGAAGTAAAACAATATAAACTCAGGGATGAAACAAGGATGCTTTTGTATCTTCAGTCTATACATCCCCCATCTTTCACTAGTTCCTCAGCTCCAACAAAAGGAAAATTTTTTTCATTAACTAGGAATGGAAACCCAGTGCTGGGTCTTGCCTCAAGTGCCCACAAGCCACCCTAGCCTAAATCAAACTGACCATTCATTCCTTCCTTGGTGGATTTAAACAAACTTTGTACATTCAAAGTTCCTATAAGACTTGCACGCAATTACTTGCTTATGTACTTGTCTTCCTCCATTAAAATGTAAGAACTGAGGGCAGAAATTGTTTAGTGCTAGACTTAGTAACAGCTGAATAAATGTTGGCTGGACGAATGATAATATACAAAAGAACCAGAACCAAGAAGGAACACAATAGTTAGTTTCCCTCCCTTCCATAAAAATAAGATTAGTTACTGGTCCTAGATGCTCCATTCTCTACATTGTGGGAGGTTTTTTGTTTTTTTTTTAATGTACCTTGCTTATTTGGCAAGAAAATTAATTTCCTTTGATGAAAGTAATGCCAAATTAATGAAGAGGTCAGGGGTCAAGGGCTAACTACTCTAGAAGAAATCCAATCAAATACTTTCTTGCCCACAGGAGATAGCATGGGCTTCTTCCAAAGAATTCAGGATTTGAACTCAGTTTAAGTTCCAGATCTAGAACTGAGCAGCTGGGTGACACCTAATGCTGGGCAAGATCTCTGAACCTCAGTTTCTTTATCTGTAAAATGGATAGCATGTTAATACCACCTATTCTACTTTTCTCTTGGATATTAGCAATGAACATGCTTGGTTTAGTGGTAACTATTAACACAACACTTTCAGAGACGCATAAGTAAGTTCTCTTGCACAATTCATGAATGAATGAATTATGATAAGTGAGGTTAGCAATCTCAAAAACCCCTTTCCTTAGAATCTCTTCCCTCCACCTGATCCTATAGGAATTTACTTATACTTTTGGACAGAGAGGGTCTCATTACTTATTTCTACTGGGTAGGTTATCTGCCTACTCTCAGGTGCTTACTAAGGACTTTAAACATGTATCAAATGATCCTACAACATGGCTAGAAGCAGGTGCTCTGGAAATCAGATAAGGTAATACAAAACTCTGCTGGGGAGACCCGAGACTTGTTCCAAAAACCCTGGGCCTGGAGCACTGCACTGATCTTACTAATCATTTCTGCCTGCTGCCCTTCAGACTTCCCAACACCTTATTGTTTTTTCCCAAATGGGAGAATGAACAATATTTTAAGACTTAGAATTTTAAAAAGAGCCAAAGTACTTAAGGGATCAAAAGGGTTTAAAAGGAAAAAAATAAATGGATATTCTGTAGTCTCTCAATGGCAAGCTCTCCTTGAATTTAAGCAATCCTTTTTAACAACCCCTTTTCCACTCAATCATTCCTCCCCCTTCAACCTAATCCAAGTATACAGAGCTGCAGAAAACCACCGTAAAAGTAGAAGTAATTCAAAAGACATCACCTCCTACATGGGAGGGGAGAAAGTTTTCCTACTTGCCAGTCCCATATAGGAGATATACGAATGTGTGACACAGCCGCTCCCTAAAAGAGGACTGTGCCCTATAAATCAGATACTAAGCATCAACCCCTTTTGCACACAAAGAAATTGCTGTGGGTCAGGGGCTGCTCCAGATCATGTGCCCTCCTGTTCACTTGTCACCAGAGATGTTAACATTTCTGATTAATTCATATAGCCCTATTTTATTCCTCATTTCCTTATCCTTGCTCTCCTGCTCTGTTGCAGTGTGAAGACTCTTACGGACCTGCTACAGTAATCACCACCCGCTAACTGCATCCCCCCAAACCTAGTGAAATTGTTTAGTGATGCCAGCCGCGCTTTTAATTTGCAAGACATCAGACACAGAGGTAATTTATACTAACATCTGTTCATTTTTGACTTCTGAAACAAACTCACACATGCTGCTACAAAATCCATTAGTAGGGAGACAGCCTTCTGCTACTATTCTGTATTCCTTGTCTACACAGACACACACACACAGACACACACACGCACATACACACATACAACTTCTAGTAGGGTTTTATGTGTAAATTTATTTTACTAAAAACTCCCACCAAAGATTCCAAATCTCTTTGGGGGAAAATCTTTAGAGATGGCTACTGCCTGCATACAGAGGAGAGGAAGAATTTCTATTTCTCCCTGCTTAGTTTCGTCCCTTCTCCTTCCCAATAGTTACAACTTGGTATAATGCTAGCATGAATGACATGCTCTTCAGCTTGGCACTTCCAGTTCCTCCTTTTTCTCCTAGTTCTTTTTCCTCCACAATGTGTTATATAGAAAATAATCCTAGAAACAACAAGATTGCTGGAGAGAGTTTTATCTAGAGTCAGCGTCAGTGAAATTTGTTAACTATTTTCTGATTCTGGATTTATTCTCTAGGATTAAAAGTTTCAACAGGAAAGCAACACTGCCATCATTCTAATAACTATGCCAAGAAGGACCGACTAGTCATCAGCCACCATGGTGTATACTGTGCAGAAGAGAAGCATGACCCCATATCAAGTCATGATTTGCAGGGCCTTCTATGTAGTGAAGAGATCACAAATTGGGATAGTCACAAGAGAGACTGTTACCATAGGGTTAACACATGAATTGCTACAGAGAGTGTGGAGAGGGGACCACTCCTACACATTGAAAGACAGCAAATGGATAAACTACAATAAACTTCCAGGTTTATGCTGTTTCTATTACCCCCTTCGTAGTTTCTCTAGGGCTGTCAGGTTCATGAGAGAGTGTGGAGAGGGGACCACTCCTACACATTGAAAGACAGCAAATGGATAAACTACAATCAACTTCCAGGTTTATGCTGTTTCTATTACCCCCTTCGTAGTTTCTCTAGGGCTGTCAGGTTCATAGCAGCTGTAAATACCTGGGTATACTGAAGAGAGGTCAGGGCTGAAGGGAGGACTCCATCCTGCTTGCTTTGAAGGTGGTTTGTGGTTTAATATAATCTCTTCCTCAGACTCCCCAATTCCTTCGTCCTCCATTTAGCCTTGCCTCTGGCTCCCTTTCCACAATGACTATCCCCAAACTGCCTTCTCTGCAGTAAATTTTCTGGTGGCTGGTTGAAAAAGATTCAGTGGTACAGATTGATTTCTCACCGGTGAGGGGATGAGGGATTACCAGAAGCACCCTGGTTAACGAGATTGGGTGCAGAATCTCTCTCAAGACCAGCCCTCTCTGCCAGGGCTTTGCACCTTTCGCCCATGACATATGGGTTTTATTACAGAAAGATTTTCTAGATTACAACTTTGAGGCAATTGCCTGATAAAATTCTGCTTGGCTTTTATTTAGGGAACAATGTAAAGATTAAGTAGCATTTTAATGAAATGAATGGAAGAAATTCATAATATTTGGGTTTCAATTCCAGTGCAAACTACTTTAAATATTTCTGCACCTCAATATAATTAAAAACATTTGTGAGGTGGAGAAAAGTTACCTTCCACTGGTTTTCTCACATCTAGCAGAGCAACAACAGGCTGTCTTTAGGAGACTCTAATGTAAGTGGCCAGGAAACTAGGAAACAGCATAACATTGTAAAAAAAAAAAAAAAATCAGGGCTTTTAGAATTAGACAGGCTTGTATTTGAACCTCAGTGGGCAAGTTCCAAAGTCATCTTTCTTAGCTTCAGTTTTCTCATCTGTTCAAGGTGGGATTAATACTAAGGTCACATAGGCATTCAGTAAATGCTAGCTACTGTTTAACTCTCTTCTTTCTTTCTTTCCAAACAAGAAGTTTATTCAAGCAACAAGATGGTTGATGGGAAAACTATGCAGGATTCATTTCTTTTAGAGTAATTTATCCCTAAT